CTTTTAATCTAACGGTCAGGGGTTCGAGCCCCCTACGGGGCTAAGTTTTTGCAAAAGGTCAGCATCTTTTTTTCTTTAAAACCTTGCTTGAGATACTGACTCAAAATTAACAGGCCTTGCTCTTCGCTACTGGAGCTAAAAATTAAAGAAAATTCTCATTGTGAATTTTAAACTAGTGATCTGTTGTGCGAGTAACAATAGCGTAGTGAGTTCTTAACTGAAGGAAAAAAAATTTCTATACTTGAATTTTCTGGTGAGCAGTAAAGATAAATAGGTCAGAGGTCTGCTTTGGATTTTTTCTTCTTGACAGTTTTCAGTGGTTCAATTGATATCTATTACATGGTAGCGCTCGTAATTTTTTACAGACATATTACGGACATCACTCCCTTCACTCATTCTTGATCAATTCGTATCAAAAACCATTCAAAACGTACTTTTAGGTGTTTAAATTTAATTTTTAAATAATTTTTGAATCGCACCTGTTTATGAAAAGAGCTTCATTTGACTGATCCTTCATTGCATTGTTTGTTCCACCATTTCTCCTAAACGAAGGTGTTGCATCTATATTCATATACCTTGCAGTCATAAACTTACTGCTTTTCCTTGATTCCAACCGTTGTGATTCTCAGTATAAGAAATCGCAGCTATAATCTATAGATAACTCAGTTCCTACTTATTAAAACAAACTTATCTGAACCTAATAAGATCCTACTGCATGAACGAAATGGTTCCCAGAACGGTGTTAACTTCGACAGCAAACGATTCCAATGAAAGTAACTCTCCTTCTTGACAATCTATTCCTGAGCACTTTATTGATAACAACGGAATAACTCCAGTTGTATTATTTTCTAAGAACCGGCAGAATGATTCATAGAAGTCTATTTATGCTGGAAGATCACAGAGAGCCAGATGAAACATATTCTTGGATGAAACAGCGAAAATCAACAAAAAATGTAGAAGCCACAATGCTTCGGTAGCTAGTAAGACGTTTTTGCAATCTTCTAAATTTTGCTGATAAAAAACTTTTTTTTTATATACTATTCTCAGCTAACAGATTGATTCTCGACGCAAACGATACTTCGAGTGAACGATGCCGATGCTTTTCTTTCAATCATTACTCCATTGACATATCATCAAAAAAGTTTCTGTAATCAAAAACTGTTGTAGTCGACCGTACTTGTGCATCAGTTACTTAAATAATTTGTTTTCCGTAGCCTCGTTAGCTCAGTTTGGTAGAGCGTTAGACTTTTAATCTAACGGTCAGGGGTTCGAGCCCCCTACGGGGCTAAGTTTTTGTGATTACTTACCGGAGATTCAAATATTTTTCAAATTATTTTCAATTACCAATTGCGGATGAATATGTTGGATGTTTTTGGAATTCTTTGCATTGTTCTTCATGGTTCCTATTGTGTTTCCTGAAAATTGTCAGAAGCAATGATAAAAGTGTTATTTATTCAATTTTTTGTGGAAGTGGCCATGATAAGATAAGAGAGCAAAAAAATTACTCTTAGGTATTGATTCAGATAGTATTCAGAGAGATAAAGAATTTCAATTTTTTGAGCTTACTTGTCCTCTCAGTTTAGGATGAGAAGATTTATGTGTTTAGTATGGAAAAAACAAAAACCTAGTTTTACTTCTGGCTGTCTTCAAGCATAATATATATTGATAACGAATGGTTCATAATGGATGTCGGAAAACACATCAGCTTTTTAATATTTGAATGCCCCAAGGGAGTTTGTAAAATTTTCGTAAAATGCTCTGGTTGTACTTGTAAATGAATGAAAATCGCTGAATTTCAAGAGAAAAATGAATTTGGAAGGGAGTATTGATTAATTAGGTTCTATTTTGCACTCATACACTTTCTCTTATTAACCATACAAAACTATAAATCTGAGAAGTCGTGTAGAGATTCATCTCAAACGTCCCACAGGGCATAGCCATAGGGACAAATGGGAAGAGAGAAGAGAAAGAAGAAATCATGTCATAGCTCTTCTTCTGCTACTTATTCCATTTTTGGCACAACTTCCAGCGTTAAGATTTATTTGTATTCTGAGATTTACTATGAAATTGTAAAATGTGTATTTCTAATCAAGTTGCCTTGCGATTTGTTTTATGGCTCAAGTATGTTTATCACAAATACAGGTATATCTCATTAATTATCACTACTTATGTATTAATTTCAGCTTAAATCATATTCTGCTATTGGCCAGCTATGCATTCTTCATCTTAGTTGCTGCAGCCATATTCTTTGTCATTGAATCTATTAATTCTCAAAAATTTCAGCACAGCTGGAAAGTTCAATTGGCTAATGATCGAGATAAGTCTGTCTAGTATACCTCGTATCAGAAGTTGAATATTCAAATGCAGGTTTATTCGGGAAGAACTTGTCCCTGAGATATTCAACAATACAAAGCTACTTCTCTACATACATGATCAGAAAGCACAGTACCTAACGAATATAATCAACTTGCGCTTGGAATTATATGAAAAGCAGTTGAAGCTTCGCCCCCCTCTGCCTACAATGAGTTGTAACTACTTGCATTCAGTATTATTCGTAAGTTGATGGGAAATAAAGATGAATTACAACAACGATAGGTTTTCTCGACCATAACTACTATTGGATATGGTTATATTTACCCAGTTACTTATTGTGGAAGAATCTTCTCGGTCGTTTGTAGTCTCATCGGTATTCCCTTCACTATAGTTGTCGTTAAAGACTTAGCTTATCTTTTGGCGAAGCTTTTGGATTTCCCTTGTATTCTATTGGGTAAAATCGCTGTTAATCTCATAAAATGATTATCCTTTTCCAGAAAAAGTATGGGCATTGTTCAGATTCTGTACCCTAAAACCAGTTAATGAAGATGAAATAGAACGCAAACTACGTCATGAACCTACCAATCGACAAGATTATCGAGTAGCTAATCAAGATCGACTTCTCTCAATACCGGTAAAAATAGTTTTTTTTTAATGAAACAATACTCTTTTATGCGAAAAACAATTCTCATCACAGGTAACGGTCGCTGTGTTCGCCGTATGTGGGTGGACATGTCTTGGTTGTATTTTAACTCACCTTTACATGCCGAATATAGAAACTTCTGTCGCACTCTATTTTGTGTTCAATTCTCTCACCACAACGGGAGTTGGCGATATTGAGCCTGGAGGTATAACAACGATAAAGCTGTTCTTTGGGTTTAGATCAATGAAAATTTAGAAAACTCTTTCATACTCCTAATTTTCTCCATATATGTTTTGTTCGGCTTAGCTATCGTATCACTATTCATCAACTTGATACATGCGAAATTCAGTCGAGCCTACTGGCTGCCGGAAAAGATGTATTTCCCTTTAAGGTATTTCATTAGACGATATTGTTTCAAACAAATTAAATTTTCTCGATAGAACTACTATGGGTGGTGCGGAGACATTGGCTACCTTCGATAGCTATGATGAGCTTATGGCACTTGATCATCCACTCAACCACTTAATTACCATGGGAATTATACAAGCAGAGGCATGTTCTTGATTGACATCTTAACCGGAATATATAAGCTATATAGGATAAATGTCCTCTACTGAACGTCACGAGCAGGGAAACGGCAATTGTTGAAAACACAACGCAAACGCAGCAAACCGTAATCATAAATGTTCATTTAGAAAATTGCATGATTATCTTTCAGATTGCATGTCAGATAGGATCACCATCGGAGAAAAGCTTAGGACCAGTTGTATTGCCGGCTATCCACACATCGCTTGAAGACGTTAACTCTCTCATCGTCGAGACATATGGTGCTCGTCCCGCATTGCTTATTCAGAACATGATCAAGAAATAGATTCTAACTAGTTTAACCATAATTTAATTTTTTTACGGTGTTTCAAGTGTTTTGTCCTAATGAAAAATGAATTAAAGACACCAGAAATCATACTTCAACAGACACAGAAGAGAAATTGCTTCAAAGTCCAAGCGGGAATGGAGGCTTAACAGAAACAAAACATTAGGTCACAATAACAGAGGATCATGATAAGCTTCAAGTATAACTTCAGGATTATTTCATAATTTATTTATTTTGACTAATTTTTTTCAGTATTATCAAACATGTTTTCTTTTGAATGAGCTCAGGAATCGAGGACGGTGCATTAGCACTACGAACAGAAGTAAACGAATATCTGAGATTATGAAATAAACTAAATTAAGATTCACCATAAACAAAAAATTCAGATATTCAATAACATACAAGTATCAGCAGCATAATTATCTTATATTCAGGGTAACCTGATAATATCCGACTTCCGTTTGTTGAGAAGACGTAAAACGGCTTCCTTTTCTATCACTGGTCGAGTAACTTCATCTGCAAAAGACAAAATTATGTAGAAAAGATGAGAAACTGTTACCATCGTTGAAAATTTGCTGAACTAAATTTGAAGCTGTTTCAACAGCATGACAGTGAATTTCAGCTCTCATAAGCTGGCTCAGCATCTCACCATGGGAATGCACAACGTCTAATATCTAAATGACTCGATAGTTAGACGCTCAATCGACAAAAAGTACTTTTAATGAGATTCGTTTCCACTTAGGTTTAGCACACAGTGTCAAGCACAAGTGCATCACGAGATCAACAGAGTTTGCGAACAGGAAAGAAGGGGTATCTTTTCTGAAAGTAATAAGTAATAACCACCCATTGCCTGACACAAACGTATTAACGGTGGCTGGTTGAATGAAAATCTGTTTCGGCGGGTTCTTCAGAGCTGTTAAATGTGAAAGAACTTCGGGAAGAGCTAACTCAGCTAAAGCGTTCCAGCCGGGTACTGTGAGTGACAATCGAACAAGAGTTAACTAAATACATATTGATGCATTTCTTGTCGGCTACTTACAATTAAAGTTGTGAAAAGTTTATGTCGTAGTGTATGATCAGCATCTTTTCTGCTGAGCAAATCCCAATCTATCTCGATATCATTGAGAAGTTCTGTGAGATATCTAGGCATTCCAGTCTTGGAGAAAAATGAGGCTACCTATTGAGAATAACATAGAACAAATTTGAAAGAAAAACACTGACTCGCTTGGAATTGTTGGCATCTTCATGCAATATATCCTTTAAGAATAAGAGAGGAGCAATCTGAATATATGGGATAAGGTAGACTAATACAATAACAACACAGCAGAACGCAACAGTTCAGATTTAGAGTAGACTAATACCTTGAGATGAATCGGAAGATCAGAGATATCGGTCGCGGTTCGACGACTAATTTCATATGCGAACTTATCGATAGAAATACGGAAAGGATCTCGAGAAGCAACGGCAGGTCCGTTGCCATCCAGCAGCCATTCTGCAGAAGTCGGAATATTCTATGAAAAACAAATTACAGATCAATTAAATTGGATAAAAGCTACCTCGATTTCCTTTGCACTGTAGCATGTTTTAAGGTACAAACGAGCGGCGTCGTATAAAGAAAACTACAAAAAAAAAATATGTGCCAAGAGAAAATAGTGTACCTTCGCTTGCAATGGCTTTTCTCCTGGCTGAACCAAAAGCTCGATTAGTGGCGTAAACAGGTCAGCGATAACTGTTCGCAGCTCAGGTAACTGAAATAAGGTTAACAGTAATTATATTTCGAGAATGATCGAAAAGTGGGACAAGTATGACAATAGCTGATAAACAAGTTTCTATATCCGCGAGAGAGAGTATTTAAAGCAGCGTAAATGTTAGTTGGATTCTATTCTGTCCGTATGCAACCCCTTATGTTTTTTCTCTCTTTGATCATTCATCGAATATTAATGCGAAATCATTTTCAGCTATGCAAGTTCATACGGCTACATTTGTAGCCAGCTCCATGAGCGGTATCGCTCTAGTTTGCTGTTTGATGGCCATGGGTCAGATTTACACTAATGTTCAAGACTTCTGGTCTGAGCTTGATGGGGAAATGGTCAACTTCCGTACAAACACCGATGAGATGTGGAAAGATATGATCACAATCGGTTCTAGACGCAAGAGAAGAGATGCTTACACTGCCAACACTGCCAATACTTACAACGAGGGAATAAACCAACCATCTGCCCCAGCTCACGGTTTCGCTATGCCTCCAGCAGGTCCTGAGCCAGCACCAGGATGTTCTTGCAATGCAGAGAACAAATGCAACCCTGGCCCAATCGGACCAAAAGGTTTTCAGTTTCTTCGCTTATTTTTTTTAACATATCTTCTTTAAGGATCTCCTGGAGCACCAGGACCAAACGGAGTACCAGGAATTGATGGAAAGCCTGGTGTTGATTCTCAAGATGTCGAACCAGCATCTCAAGATATTGGAGTTTGCTTCCACTGCCCACCAGGAACACCAGGACCACCAGGTCCACTCGGAAGACCAGGACCAAGAGGAATGAAGGGAGCCGACGGAAATATGGGAAGAGAAGGAAGAGATGGAAACCCAGGACATCCTGGACAAATGGGACCCCCAGGACCACCAGGACGTATCGGACCAGATGGACCACCAGGAGAAAAGGGAACTGATGGCCGTAAGCCAATCGGAAGACCAGGACCAAAGGGACAACGTGGACCTCAAGGAGAACAAGGACCACAGGGAGACAACGGTAAAGACGGCCCAGTTGGAGCCTCAGGACCATCTGGATCACCAGGAGGACCAGGACCACAAGTAAGTAGATACAATATCGATAGTTTGTATCTTTGTCTCAATAGGGAGGCAGAGGACTTGACGGACCTCCAGGAGGAGAAGGAGGTGTTGGACGCCCAGGTCATGATGCTGAATACTGCCCATGCCCACAACGAGCCAAGGATGGATCAGCTCCAGGAGGCATCGGAGGTGGAGACAACTACCAAACGGGAAAGTAATTTAAGTAAAAAGTATACAACTTATGAAACCAAAACGAATAAAACTCGTAAACTGACCTCTGTGTGTATTTCTTTGGACATAACACAAATAGCTTTGCAAACTCTAAGGATAGTGTCACAAATATTGACCAACGGCTCAGATGGACATGAACTGGCGAATTCCATAAGAATGAAGGAAGCGTCAGTCAGAATATCGAGTTGAGAAACTAGAAATATGTTATGTTCTTACAAAATCTTCAATTGCTGAACGAACCAGTTGACAAAAACGGAACAGGAGAGAAAACAGCTACAATATTGAGCAGAGCTGTGCAACCAGATACGAGACTGCATGTAGATCCACGCTGGAGCAACTCGCCATTCAAATCTGTACAGTATTCAAGAACTGCGGTCATTTCCTAAACACTCAGATATAAAATGTGTACTGAATTAGAATGGAAACCCTCTCAACGTAGGCGATATCCTCGTTCTGAGTAGCTAAGATTTCTCGTTTCAATAGAGAGTGTAGACACTCAACATCGTTTTGGATTATACCGAATACTGTTTTAGTTTTACAATCATCGAAGAGCTGAAAATTTCACAACTTTAACTGTTCACAAGAGAATCATTCTAACCTGTAGAAGCTTTTGAGCATTAAAATGCATCAACTTAGGGAATTCGATTTCAGCATTCACTCGAATATGACTCTTTTGTAGGACGCTGAAGGCAAAAAGTAATGGAAAGGGTTGATTTCTAACTTGAATAATAAGTTTCCACAGTCTTCCTCCATCATATCATCATCTTCTCTGCTATCCAACAAGATTTTGTACAGCTCTGCTGGCATATCATAATGTCCTAAGACGACCATAAAAAATTTCAGATCAGTTACTAATACCATTTTTCAGTAAGTAAGATATCTCCAGGGCACAGAGGTGAAGCACGGAACCAGCTATCATACGTGATAACGAGAACATTGTTGAAGTATCGTCGGTTGATTTGTACTATACACAAGCATTACGAAGAAACCAAAAAGAATACTTACTCTATCGAGACAGTCAACTAAAGCTGGAGCTGATACTAAGCGCTTGATCAAATCGCTCGACCGCAAATATCGTAGCACATTATTGGCATACGAACAATCAACAGAAACAAGAAGTTGCTAAATATAAGAGGATAAAGAAGTGACAACTGAACTTACCAGCAAACGGAAAGCGGGTTCGATAACAGCTGAAAATGGTAGTTTCAACGGGAGATCATTCTCAAACTGTTCCACAATTTTGATAACTTCGTGGAACCCAGTGCGGCGTGAATCTAACAGAGACTATTGTCAGAGTAAGGATGATTAGTTATTACCATCAGAATATAGCTGTCCTCCTGAAGGGGAGTTGAAACCAAACAACAAATAACAAATGTTTTGCCCCTTAGGATCTGATTGCACAGAATCTGCCAAAAATTCTAAAACAAGTCGAGCAGTTTCTCCTCTGCACCACTGGGGATCCAAATCTTGGATATCTGAAAAGGAGTCATCAGTTTGTAACTCGTTTCATCGCAAACCTTTATTTAAAAGATCTTCTATCGTGAACTGAATCTGTTGGCAATTCAAAACAGACCGAACTGCTTTGACTTGACTCTGAATACCTGTAGATCTCATTCTAAATCTAATCTGCTCAACCATTTTCTGAAACGAAATTGTCTAAATAGGGACCACAGCTTCACTCACAGATTGTAATGATGGCCTAACAAGACAAAGATCATGAACTATCTGAGCAGCATGCATTGAGTGATAGGGGTGCTCATCAGCCTAGGAATAAACTGTAATAATCACTCAAGAAAAAATTCAAACTTGTTCAAGATAAATGAAACATAGGTCAATAACATTATCCCCTGTTTGTCTCAGAGGAGAAAGCATGAGGACCTGCAAGGTTGCAAGAAGGAAATCAGAGTTAGCAGCCCTTATAGCAGATTTCAAGGCATTATAACGAGAGCAAGCCACTGAAACAATATAATGAGCAGATGTAATACACTACAGTGTTACATGATAAAATCTCGATTGCTATCTGAGCAGCTTTCAGAGATGGTCTATGACTTGATCCACCCGGTGAAGGACTCAAAAATACATCACAATCTTCCATTAGCACCGCACATATCTGGAAAAAGTTTTAATTTTCATTGTTATAAAAAATATTACCGCTCTGTAAACTGGTGTATCATTCAATATCTGCACAAGTAGTTGAACGTGAGGCTCTCTCACGGCAACAGCTCGCGCATCCGTGTACGACTTTTTCAAAATTGTAAGAAGAGCATTCAGAGATACTTCTGCCAGCTCCCACTGAAATAAAGCATAATATATTTCACTGTCAATCTATACTCACCATTTGTTGCGCATCTTCATAAGATCTTGAAGCCATTTGTGAAACTATAGACTTTGTTAGATATTGTAAGTAAGGAGCAGCTATGTCCGGAATACT